GTTTTTCCCCTTGCCCCGCCCCTCCCCCGGACTCCTTTTTCCAAGGTGCCACCAGCATTTTTCCTCCCACCGGAGTGAGAGTACCCATTTGTCTACTTACGTGAGTTTTCGACCTGTTGGGTTGACAGGAACTGGGGAGGAAATTTTGTAGAGAGTGGGCAAGGTCAAAAAATTTGACAGGTCATATTTGATTGCAGCATTATCCTCAGATACAGCATTATCTTTTTCCAACTCGAGAGAGTCCATTTTATAAGCATTAAGACCACAGTAGCCTTTTGGTCACAGGTGCTTGATTTGATTTTTCATGATCTATTTTGCTCCGTCCTCATTGTGACTTAAACTAACATCTTTGTAAACATTTTTCTTTCCAGGTGGAGTCACCAGTTATCTGTAAAATTCTGGATACAGCAGACGAATATGGACTGCTTTCTGTGCCAAGTTAATGACTTGTGGAATAATTGGATGTTCAGAACCACAACACTGAAGGAGGAAAAGTACAACTGCAGTTCTCCGTGTGAACCAATAGTGAAAAGAAGTACTGAGTCAGAAGAATTCACCAGCAGACAGAAAGAAAGCAAAAAGCTATTGTGAATTATTTTGTGAATATTATATGTATATAAGAGACTATTGATAAACTTTTAAAAAATAAAAAAGTCTAATCTTGGACATTTTCATTTATTCTCTAATAGAGAATGGAGTCTCTCTTTTCTAAATATTTGCTTTTCCACTTTATGGAAGATGAAAATGAGACTCTGTTTTGGTAATATATTGGTTTCTTTTGCAGAGGAGTTTTTTTGACCTGTTCAGATGTTCAGTGACAAATCTTTACCGGGGGGGCCCTCCATGTCTTTGCTATGCACTGTAACACATGAGAGAGACTGGGCAAGTCAAAGATATTTTTCATCTCTTTACGTAGGCTATCTCAACAAGTTTCTTAAGTTCATGGGTCCAGATTTTGGTATGTTTACTACTGCCTTTATACTCATTCCAGGAAGTACCCAGTCTCTCCAGTGGGATGGGCAGCTGTGGCAGACTGAAGATTCTTCTGTCTAGCACTTGCCATTCCCAAGTTAACTGGAGTGATGTTGACACTATGTTCTGTCGCATTGTAGCAAGTACTGGTAATTCCCCTATGTCTTGCCACATTATGCAATTCTTGTAGGTAGATTCATGCAGCTTCCAGGACTCTGTCTATCCGCTTCACATACAGTCAAAGCTCTTCTCCTTTCACCTTGCTCGGTATTATCATATTTTCCACAAATGCATCAGCCCACAGGATGTATCCAAAGTACAATAGTTTTTGCGTTGTGATCCTCTTTTGGCACTCTCCCCAACTTAATGAGGTTGGTATTTTCAATACACAGTAAGGAGCCTTCTCAGAACATGCCTTCTAACTCTGGTAGCAATCTGACCTCCACTCATTCTGTAAGACATGCTCTAAATCTTATTTTCTGGGTTCGGGGGGAAGATGGGGATCAGGGTTAGGAAGTATTCTCTTATCAAATTACTGTCATGGTAGATTAATAGTTGATGTGGGTTGGACTTAAAATCAGGAAGAGGGTGATGGATCCAAATACTTACCCAATGGTTAACTGGGGTTTTCCTGCCACCTTGCCAAGTAGTTATGTTGGAACTGATCTTTTCTATTTGTTCCAAGTAATTCCCACAGAGTTACCCCAATGTGTGGCAGTGGTCTTTACAATAGTCTCAGCCAACAATGTTTGGTGCTATTTTAGAGTCTTGTGTGGGAAGTAAGCTTCTCCACTGGAGATAGGGATTGACTGAGAAGAATTATATGTGAGGGCTCTTGTCCTCAGTAAGGGGTAGTACCTAGCTGATCTCAGGAGCTGAGCAGAGTTAGTCCTAGTCAGTACTTGCATAGGAGGTCACCTGGATATTGCAGGTCTGCCTAAATGGGGAAGTAAAAAACACCTTCCAGAAAAAGGCAGTGACAGCATTTCCTTCATGGCACTACCTAACTGAATTGGTATCAATTTAATTGTGATGATATTAAGAGGGGAATCTGAATATTTATTTGGTAAGCACCATTTTAATTTTATTAAACTCCAGTTTCCTTCTGCTGACAGATAATTGGTCAACTGATCCTATTGCTTTAAAAAAAACCTTCATTGTTGATGAGGTTTTCTTAAGCTGTAGTTGAAACAGACTCGCTTGCTTTGACAGATAAGGCTAAATGTTTTAAAGAATCATAACAAAAAAAAAAAAAGCTTTGAAGGGAATGAGAAAATACATTTTGAACAGATTTTCCCAATGTGTTCTTTCAAATGTGCTGGACCAGCTCCCAGAATACCTAGCATCTGGCTGAGAATTCTAGGAATAGAGATCTAAAACAACTGGAGAAAGAGCTAAAGCCCCTTGAGAAAACAGAAATTTTCTTAGCGTCCCCCCCCCCCGCCTCCGGTCTATAAACGGCTTGATACAAACCAGCAGGATTTTCACTG